TCATTCGTCACATTTCCGCCGCTGGAGGAATGGAAACTCTGAGAGGCGACTCTTCCAAAACCACCGCTGCTGCCGCGGTGCCCGGAAACGATGAAGACATACGCCGAAATCGAGCTCTATCGAGTAAACTCTACCTCGAACTGATTCCTTCCAAGGTAACACACAAATGTTTAGATAGTTTTGTTGAACTTGCTTGTTTTAAAGTGGTATCCGAGTATCTGATTATCACACCAGAATAACTAAGTCCTGTTGAACATGTTGCACTACGAAATACAGGTTCCTTTAATTTATTCGTCTTCATATGATATCGCCTTTATGGGAATGGAAAAGCTGTAAGTAATCTACACTCTATTTTATTTTGATCAATTGGGTTGATGAGAAAATAATTGTCCACAGAAACCGGAAAACTATGCTGGGAATTTATTAGTGGTGTGAAAATATCATGGATAACACACAACTCTCTTTAACTTTGGTGGAACAAATATAAAATTAAAGGGATTCATTGAGGAATATAGGAAGGTTAAATTTGGATGAGAACACTGATCAACTATGTGAGTTTAGTATTGTAATATTGTAAAGTTTAATTCATGAGCAGATTACCATAGTTAGATTCTATATTTCCATCTTGAAAGAATTATTCTTGATATGCCCTTTAAAAAATATTGAAGGTTGTTTAAAACATTAATATCTTGAAAAAATGAAAGTTCATCTATTAAGTCAATGGTTATCCTGTAATAAATGCCTGACTAACCCTCTCAAGTAGGTCATGCATGAAAGAAATATTCAATAAATCACATAGAGGCAACGAATGAGGTGGGAATTCACGGGGTGAAGAAATGGCAAAAAAAGAAAGTATTCACTCTTTTGTATTTGGCCTCTATAATATTTTTTCCCCAGTGGATTTCTCTCCTATTTACGAAAGGTGTGGAATCTTGGCTTGACAATTTCAGGCATCCTTTTGACTCTTCTAAATGGGGTCGCATCTGCCGCTTTCTTGTAGCAGAAGGTTTTCTGGACAAAAAGAACATAGTTGAACCTCTGGAGGCTGCAAAAGATGATCTCCTAGTGGTATTCATTCTTTGTTGGGATTCTTTACTTGCATGCTTTTGACCTGTATCCCCTGTTCAAATGGATGATGCTGCATTTGCTGTGTCATTTTCCAGGGTTTTAGAGTCTGTTGCTTGTATTTACCAATCAATGGGTCATCTATTGTCTCTCTCTCTCTCACCTGTCTGTTGCACTATTTTGCAAGTTAGGGCTCTAACAGTTTGATACTATGGACCTTTTGAATAACAGTCAAGAAGATCTCATGAAAATTGAACATTTGCGCCTTTTTTATTATACGACCACTCCAATTTAAATACTAATTTTGCTATTTGATTATTAAGTCCACGATGTCTTATCATTACTTGTCGATCCATTTTATGTTTATTTAAAGTTAGGCTTTAAATTTTGTTAATTTGTTTTGTATTGGATTTTCAACATGATTTAGGGTTTTATCATAAGCATATTGTTGTTGTTTTTTCTAATTATTTTTCAGTTATTTTATTTGTTTGTGTTGAGGTTTGCTTCAAAACTCTCGGAGGTAAAACTCCTTGGTTTCCAATTTAGCTTTTCTGGACATTGGATGAGTTCACTGGTTTCTTGTTAGCCAAGAATTTGAGACGATCTGCATATCTTATGGTTTTTTGTGCAAAATTAATATTTTGTGGTGTTGGTGCCAGGTGCATTCAGAGTCATACCTGAATAGTCTAAAAAGCAGCTTAAATGTCTCTGTGATTGTTGAGGTAAGATTAATATATAATTATTTACATATTTAACTTTTCAGAGTTCTAAAAAGTCTTCTTCAAAGCGGAAGGGAACCATAATGGTTTTGCTTTAGATGGTCAACTTCGCCACCTCGATCTAATTTGATTTTGAAGGATCTAAGACACAAACTTCAATTAAATAGTTATGGTGAATTAATCAGCAATAAACTAGAAACAGTTAATGTCGTATATTTTATATGCACCATTTACCAAAATCTTTATTCACCACTTGATTGCTATAATGTTCAGGTCCCTCCTGTTGCTCTATTGCCGAACTGTCTCGTGGAGAAGCACGTTCTTTCTCCATTTCGTAAACAGGTCAATAAACCTATGTGAATCTTTTCCCCCTCTATGGATCAATTGCTTATTCTGCTATAAATTGACCGTAGGTGGGAGGAACCATTTTGGCTGCAAAGCTTGCAAAAGAACGAGGATGGGCCATCAATGTAGGAGGCGGCTTTCATCATTGTTCAGCAGACAAAGGAGGTGGATTTTGTGCTTATGCAGACATCTCTCTGTGCATTCAATTTGCTTTTATCCGATTAAATATTTCGAGGTATATGCAACTTAGGTCTTATAGCTTTAGGTAGTTGTGTGAATGCTATTGATATCATATCCGAATCCATGAGATTGATGCCTCCGTATTTCTTGTGCTCATAAGATGCAAATGTACAGGGTCATGATAATCGATCTTGATGCACACCAAGGGAATGGCCATGAAAAGGATTTTTCTTCAGACAGTATGACCTGTTGGCTGTTTGCCTTCAACCATTTGATATACATCAATTTGACTATGACTATTGCCTTTCCCTTATGTGGCTTTTTAATAACGATTATTTTGGGTTGATACATGCAGGAAGGGTCTACATCCTTGATATGTACAATCCTGGCATATATCCATTTGTAAGTTAGTTCATGTATTCATATCCCGATACCCTCTAGCTGACAGCCTGCTGAAACTATATTTACAAAGAAAAAAAAATATCAAAAAGACCAGTCATTTCAATCATCTTTTATTTTGTTGCCAATACCTTTACCTTAACTTACGAATAATGACAACAAAATGAGCCTTATTTACTGGCTTTGTGGATCATTTCTTGTTCTATTTGAATCATTGTCACACTTAGAGAAAGATCCGACAATCTAAGGCTTTATGACAGAGTCAAAGCTGAAGATGTGAGAACAACGTGGTCAGCCTTAACCTGATTATTATCTTTCTTCTATTCGTATAGGATTATGAGGCCAGAAGGTATATCAACCAGAAAGTTGAAGTAGCGGTAAGAATATCATTTTATCCATCGAGATGGATGGACGCTTCTATTTTCCTTGGACTATTATGTTATGATTGCATTGTTGATCCAGAGTGGGACTACAACAAATGAATACTTGGCAAAACTTGACCAAGCACTTGAGGTTTGCACTCGTGTTCCACTTCAGCTTCTCATATGCTTCTTTTTGGTTTTATTCAGGTTTATTAGGATTTCAGAAGATATATGCCTCTTGGAGGATATTCTCTGTGCTGGGAATTTGATCTTATTGTTCTTTTTGGAAGTTCTCAACAGTAGATGGAGTTGTCCTAATGTAGTCATGTGTGAATATACATCTTTTTTGAATCATTTTTCAGTGAAAGATATAAAAATACATAGATCCGTTTAGAACAACAGTAGAAGTCTCGTGAATGATCGACTGTGGAGGATTTTGGATATGGGGGACATATGGAGAGAGGGAGGGGGTCATGCTTTCTAGTTTAGTTTCTCATCGGCATATCATTATTCCTCAAAATGAAAATCTTAAGTTACGTTTTTTAGTCGCATTTAAGAGCAATAATCTGTCTTTATTGGGGCTGCATACCAGAAAGTGTTGTATTTGTACGTTTCTAATCCCCCAATATGATAATGACACTGAATTTTCCGATGAACTTCTAGGTTGCTGCTGGTTCGTTTGATCCGGAATTGATCTTATATAATGCTGGAACAGATATTCTGGATGGAGATCCTCTGGGTAGGTTAAAGGTAACGTCTTTGATTTCAAAATCGACCTACTTAATTGGTTTTTCTGGTAAAGGTGTATTTTGCTACCATTTCTTTTTTTCTTTTTCTTTTTCATGTGAATGACTTGGAGTTCCAATATCATATCGAATACAGGGAAAACTTTAATGGCAGTTTCATGCTTATAGAAAGATCGTAAAAAAAACGTGATAGCTTTAGCATAAAAAACATTGAGACTTTTTGGTCAAACGAAATATAACAAACCTAAAAGTTTGAACCCTAAAAACTACAGAAAATGAGGTGATGTTGGTTGTGTTGTAACTTGGGAATATGCTGTAAATAACATCAATGCAGATTAGTCCCGATGGAATTTCCATAAGAGATGAAAAGGTTTTCAGGTTTGCTCGAGAGAGGAATATCCCTCTTGTCATGCTCACGTCAGGTTCGAATTTCTTTTTCTTATTTATTTTCTTCATCATGATGGATTTTGACAATCAGTGGTATAAACTAGTTCTTATTTTCAGGTGGTTATATGAAATCTAGTGCTAGAGTAATAGCAGATTCAATCATAAATCTATCGCAGAAATCTTTGATCAACATGGAGAGCACAACGGGGAAAATATGACCATCATGTGAAAGATCCAGGGGTGCTTTGGAGAAACTTGTACCCACACCACTCAAGAGGGTACGTTGTATTTGTCTTTACATGCAGATTCTATAATTTACCGAGAGAGAAATTGTGTGTATATAACCTGATCTGTGAATATTCGAAATGAATCATGCCTACTTGATTCCCAACTCAACTGGAGTCCGTTAAATCTTTGATTATAAGCAGAGAAATGTGTGTAATGTGTTGGAACATGAAATATGGAGCATGGAGGAATGTACATGTGAAAAGTGAATTTGAAATACATGATTCCATGTTTACTGTTCCATGAATAATTGGTATACTATAAAAGTAAGTCAGATTAGTACTTGCATCTCAATTTTTTTTAATAAATGTGCGTTGAGAAGACAATTCTATCCAAAAAATCTGCCAAAAATTTAGCATTTGACCCTTGCCTTTCCACCGATTGATTTCCGTTGAATTTCCATAAATAGTACTGTATCATGACATCAGCTGCAGCTGAAGTTGCTTGGCTCTCAAACAAACTTGGAGAATCCGTACCTTCATCACCACGTTTATTATGTGACAACCTTGGCGCGACTTATTAGTGTGCCAATCAGGTCTTCCATTCTTGAATGAAATACATAGATATGTATAATTAGTTTGTGCAAGACGAAGTTGCCTCTCTTCAAGTCTCTCATGCATCCACCCATGGACGGAGCCGGGATTGTAGAGTCATGGGGGCGAATATCACATTTTAAAATCTTGGATTTGAAATTTGAACAACTCTAGATATACATTCTTCTTGACATTAAGGATGACATTCCCTTTATGTGTCAAAATATGGCTAGTGATGTGAAAAAATGTTGTAAAAATCAATGACTAAGATGGATAACATGTCAAAGGATGTCAAACTTAATGTAAAAGTTAATGTAAATGAGGTGTGTATCTTGAAATTTTGTGTAGGAACAGTTGACCCCACTGCCCTCATGCTAAAGCTGCCAACCGCCATCATCTCCATCCAAGATCAATTTGTCAATGTTCTCACAAAGCCTCTTTCGAAGCAATGATTTGTACATATTCGTTCCAAGACCAGTCTTTGATGGTAGCACCGTGTTACAGGGCATAATCGGAAAGAATCTCTTTCCACCAATCCATCCTTGAATCACTCCATTAAGTCATCCCGCAATCAATCTGTTGTTGACTAAATCCCATTATCCTTGCATCACATACGTTTCTTACTGTGAGAATATTTAATTCATGTGTTTTTCGTGTACCACAGCCCAATTGAATTGAGGCCTGTGTAGAGTACTCGTACATGCTAAATCTCGAGCTGAGACTTTTTCCTTCTCCACCAAGACTGAATTTACAACTACGATGATACGTGTACAATGTCCACTTCATTTACTACGCGGTGCCAAAGTTACACCATATGTACCATAACATTGAGGCCGATTTGGCTCATGTCACGTCTCAATACACGTTCGAGTCATTCGATCTTGGCTATGTCTGTGAGCGGCTCCGCCCTTTGCCCCCGTCTAAGGATGTTAGTATATATAAACATTAAGTTTGTAAGGCTCGTAATCTATTAATAGGTTCAAAACTTGTGAAGTTCACTGGTATAATAAAAGTCTGAATATTGAAATTCAGACCGATTGACTAGACATTGGTTTAAAAACGAAACTTTAGTAAATTAGGGGTAATTTCACTTTTGGTCCCAAACTTACCATTCGAGCAACAAGTTGATCATTAACCTTCGAACGAATCAAATCAGTATTCAATCTTTCATTATAATTACACAACCAATTACGTACTGACAAAAACTATCAATTTTTTTTTTTTTAATTAAGCTCCAGTTTCGTTTTGCTAAAATTCATATTTGAATTAATTGTTGATTTTGACTTAAAATTTTTATCAACTTTTTAAGCAAAATCGAACGTGAACTAAATTGTTACGTAATCCATAAAAAATCTCTTGTTCAAATTTTCAAACACTAGTCCAAGTGGGTAAACTAGACTTATAGCATGTTTGAGCCCTATGTTTTTTTTATTCAAAATGCATTTTGAAGTAGTATTTTGATAGAAAATGTGCAATTAAAAAATAAAGAGAAATTTTGGGTTTGCTTGTAATATTATTTTATTGAAGAATGTGATTGGAAATATGATAGAAAAAATGTATTTTGAAAATAATGTGAACCAAACAAGGACTTAATTTCATAAAGTTGGACGTACGAGAAAGAATCACGTAAGGATTATAAGACCATGTTTGGTTCGAATTAAAATCTGATTTTAATCCAAATTAAAGTCAAACAATCAATATTAACCACATCTTTCATGTGTCCCACAACTTTTCAACAACACATTTCAAAAACTTGATTTTAATCTAATTTTAATCCCCACCAAACATTCTTTAACTATTGAGACTGTTTTCCTTAACTTGCTATTTAGTAGCTAAATTTAAGATGAACCGTTCAATTTTTTTTCCCAATAACATATGTGCAGCTTGAAGAAAATGTGTGGGGGGATTCGGGCACTTTGTGAAGTTGTCACGGGATCCATGAATTCACAGCTTGCCCCTTTCGACGATTGGGACAACGCCCTTTGTTTAGAGCACTTTGTCTTTTTCCACAAAACTTTCCATTTTATTTGTACTCTGTGGATTTTTTTAAAATTCAGTTTTTTAACATTGGTAAGAAAATCTTTCGAAAAATTGATATGAAAAATTAAAAAGTGAGATAGGAATTGAACAAGCGATAAGAAATATTACAAGAAAAGAAAATTAAGAAGTTTGAGGTGGACTGGTTCTTTGCTTGTTTTATACTGTTTTCATTTTTTTTCGATTTCTTTACCTATATTGTTTTCTTCTACTTTTCGTTGTAAAATAGTTTTTTAGAAAGTTATCTTAAACCAACTTCCTTTGAAATCTCTTATACTCAGATGGTTTGCTACGTGTACATAATGATTTGCGTACACATGATCTCATGAGATATGATTGAGTCAGAATTTCTTCAATCAAATAGAACAAAAAATTCACCAGTCTCTTTTTGACACCCCATCTTTATGTAAACCATTATCTAACTCGATTATTTACAAATAACATTATTCCAAATAAAATATTTGCAAAAATTATATAAAAATATATTCAAAAGCAACTTTTTTTTTTTTAATAACCGTAGATGTCCGGGCCAACTTGGGCGCACATCGACTAATCTCACCGGATCTTAAAGTTTACGGTCGGATACTCATCTCAGTGACCCTGAAGGGACTCGAACGGGTGACCATTGGGGAGCAAACCCAATGCCAGACCAATTGAGCAACCCCTCAAGGTTATTTCAAAAGCAACTTCTTAATCTCAAAAATAATTTTCAACTCTTGCCAAACGGGTCCTAAATACAATGTTCATGCAATTATCCACTCCTTGGTCTAATTTATTTAACACCCTAACTCCATATGTAGGACTCTTCTGTTTCCTCATACTGCATCTTCTTCTTCTTCAAACCTTCTTCAATTCCATAGCTGAAAAATCCATCTAGTTTTTGCAGAAATGGAAAGGACATCAGTCCCTCAAGGGCTAACCGAAGAAGAATTCAAGGAATTGGAGCCTGTAATTCGTACCTACCACACGTTCGACGAAGTCCCCAACACATGTACATCCCTCATTACGCAGCGCATTGACACCCTGGCGGAGGCAGTTTGGACGTTCGTCCGCCGCTTCGACAACCCACAAAAGTACAAGCACTTTACCAAGAGCTGCCGCATGATTGGAGACGGCGGAGTTGGCAGCATCCGCGAGGTGACGGTGGTTTCAGGCCTCCCCGCCTCCACCAGCACCGAAAGACTGGAGATTTTGGATGATGAGAAGCATATACTGAGTTTTCGAGTTGTGGGTGGAGAGCACAGATTGAACAACTATCGATCTGTTACATCTGTTAATGAATTCAAAAAAGATGGGAAAGTTTATACAATTGTTTTGGAGTCTTATATAGTGGATATACCAGAGGGAAATACTGGAGAAGACACAAAAATGTTTACTGATACAGTTGTGAAGCTGAATCTTCAAAAGCTTGGGGTGGTGGCAATGACCTCTTTGCATGGACATGAATGAATTGATCATTTTGGTATGTCGACTAGACACGATAACAAATAGACAATTCGTGTGTTTTTCTTCTTTGATCTTATCTATTTCGACTCGACTCAATAACATACATATATTCATTCATTTTTCTTCTTTAGTCGCGTCTAATTCTATCCAATTCAATGTAATAATGGACATGACAGTTTTATGGGTTTGTATTTTTTTTTTCCAAGATGAAATTGGTTGAATAAAATTTATTGGTTTAGTGGGTTATTTATTTTCCTCAATAAATGAATCAAATTTGTGCTTATGAATTTTACATTTTTGGATTGTGGTTCATTGATAATTGATATTTATTAATTTACCAAATTCTTCTAGCATTTATGTTTCCTTTATCAGAAAATATAACTAACTACTCGGAACATTTTCCTAATATTTGTCTTTTGAGTAATGGATTGAATAACACTTTAATAACATATTCAGTACGAAATATTGAACATGATTGTATAATACTAAAAAGAAAAAAAGTTAAAATCTTGTTTATTATACTCTTTAATTTTCTTCGCTTTGACATAATAATCATGCACTTGTGGTTCGTTAATCCTTATGAAAATGAAATGTTGAAGAGGGTATTCTACAAAACATGCAAATATTGGAAGGGTATCATGTCAATTACCCTAATTTTTAATTTAACCACAAACTAGGGTAATCCATCGAGAAACATAGCAAAAATTAATTTTGATCAATCAACTATGATAAGCTATTGGTAGACCTTCCAATCAATGTGTCATCCTTTTGATATGTCTACTATAATGTAGCCTATGTTTGGCTCGTTTTTAGGTGCTTATGAATATATTGGTCGAAAAAATTTTGCTTGTAGGATTCATAAATACTACCCATTTTTTCACCACTCATTTATCCCTATAAATAGATATAGTCTATGCATGTAGGTACATATTATGTCAAATTTATAATATAAACTAGTAAGAGAGAGGTTCTTATTGTAACGACTCAGGTTTCAAATGTGAGCGTTAACTCGTATATATTATCCACTCGAGGAGAGTATCTGCCTATCTTATCCTTTACGAGTTCTTTCGCGTCCCCTGGAAATCAAACTCGAGATCTCTACCTTAGAAGGAATTTAAGTTGAATCCTTATCCATGTGCCATTATATTAATTTTTTATTAAAAACTAAATAAAGCTTGGACATTGGCGTCTATCTATACGTAAAGCTCACTTATCATTTTGAATGAAATAGATGTACTCCAACATAAAAGGTGAATTTATTACTACAACTCATAAGAGTATAGCTTTTTGAATATTGGGGCTCTTATATCTTCTCAATTGTATAAGCAAGTTGCATTAGCTTTTGGGTTGGCTTCAATATCAACCCATAATTGAATGACTAAGGACAGTGACTTGTGATTAGCCTTAAAGGACATGTGACCATGGCACTCCTTGAGTCCTTGTCCACTTATTTTGTCTACTTTTTTTTTTTCCTTTTTTTTTTTTTTTTTTTTCATGAGTGCTTTGTTCAACCAAAATTCCCTTTGTGGGATTGGCCGTGTGAACAATCTAAGCCAATGATATGTTATTGAGCCCTTTTTGGTTTAGCCCCCGAAAAAAAAATTGATAAAAATTTAAGCAATTTAACAATTAATTTTAATCACACATTTCATGCGATCCATAATTTTTATCAACTTTTTAATCTTACATTTCATCAATTATTATCAAAATCTACTAAAAACCTGATTTTTAGGGATGGCTAAATCATATTAGTTGAAATAGCTCTTGATAATTAGTGTGGCATGGAAACTGTAAGGGTGTGTATAGTATAAAGTATAAATTAAAAGCATGTAGGAAAAAAATAAGTTTTATAAAATATAAATTTTTTTATTGGTGAAAATTACAGACAAGCAAATTTTTATTTTGACATTAGACGAGAATTATTTTCGAAAAAAAATAATTTTTTTTTAACTTACAAAGAAGGAAGAAAAAAAAGAAGAAGAAGAAGCAAATGATCCAAACATATTTAGAGAGATGTTTATAACTTTGAAAATAGGGTTAGATTTAGCTAATCTTAAATTTGTGCTTTCTTTTAAGTTATATTTGAACCCGTACATAAGCTTATTTATATTCTAGGAAGGTAATAGGGTGGGTCGACCATTCCGACCCTCGTCATGTCGGGTATTTTTTTCATCTTGCCCCATTTATTTTTTATTTATTTTATTTTTTGTTTTTATTTTTTTATATATTTAGTTAGTAAATATATATTTGTTTCAATTTGTCAAGAACAACTTATGTTCTCTTTAAAAATGATGATGAATATTTTATTTTATTTAATAAAAAGTTTAAATTTGAAAATAATTTTAAACGGACGGATAGTGGAGCGGAAACTGTGTTTCGTGTACCCGTTTCGGGGCAATGGTCAATGCCCCATTTACCCGGTTAGGTTGGTCATCTTCGCCCCATTCAGGACAGGACCCATGAGTATTGGATTGAACAGATTTTTTTGTCATCCATATTTATATTCCAATAAAAAAGGGGCAATTTATAGAAAAAAAAAATAGGGGATTGTATTGAAAATATTGATTTTTGTTAAATATTTTAAAATTACAACCTAAATCTCATGTTTGTCTTTCACTCTTTCAAATTTGTTTCTACATACTCATTTTTAACCATACATTCACACAATAAAATATTTTACACGTAAACTAAAAAAAAAAATCTTACTTTTCAAGCACAAATTCTCCAAAAAGATTCACTATTCAAAACAATGTTTTTCAAAAAAAAAAAAAAATGGCCACCAATCAAGCGCTAAATCATACTTGAAGGAAAATAAGGCAATTATAGTTTGTGTAATTTATTATTATCATTATTATTTTGGAAAAATATTTTTGCAAATTATAATGTATATATTTTGGATGTGCTCGAGTAATTTTTTGACACATTACCGTGTATGCAATTGTTTTCACTGATTGTGACTTACACCTTGATAAGTTATGTTACAATGTATGTTGTTTTTTGAAATTTAATTCACGATCATGTTAAATCTTTTTATTAATCCTAGTTATTACGTATATAATTTTCTTAAACAAAGTTGAGCACTTCACGAAAATTGCACAATTATTCAATTCAAATTCACTTTCAATGTTTAGTAACGATAAAATGGGAATATACGATAACCATAGGTAACAATAACACTTAGAACCACTTTCAAAATTGTGACAAAATATTCAGCACTCGTTTTAAAGCATGTTAATAGGGTTTTTGAATGAAAAATCGTCATTATTTACAAGATTTGATAATCAATGAAAGGTTAAAAATAAGAAGGTAATAAAAAAAATAAGGATAATTGTGATGATGAGTACACATCAATGAATTATAGTGAAATTAAAATGTGGTGTGTGTTAATAAATATAATCACCATTTTTCAATTTTATACAACCAGAGTTTTAAACTTTCAAATTCAAAATTAAGATTTACAAAAAAAATTTCTTTAAAAACTTAGACATTTGAAAATTTTAATATTAATAGTAATATTATAAATTAATTTATATATTCATACCCTAACCCATTCAAACCCCAAAATCATCTCATCTTTCTTCCTCTCCCTCTTTTGTCTCTCTCTACCCTATCACTCATACATGAACCGCCGTCACTACCGGAAACTACTCTATTTGTCGTGACTCCGTCGACGCCCTTAGAAACACTAATCTCCCATTTAATGTCATCCTCCAACGTGTAGTGGTTCAACGATCTGTGGTGTGCAGTGCTCCAATATGTGGTATGCGGTGCATCGATCTGTGGTGTGTGGTCTACGGTGGTGTGTATGACGGTGATCTGTGCGTACTGTGGTGTGTGCGGATCTATGCGATAGTGATCTGTGTGATGTGCATGCGATGATGCCTAGTGGAGGTGGTGCTGCGGCGATATGTATGTTTTGGGTTGGTTTCTTCTTCCAACCTGCTCAGTCAGAGTTTTAGGGGTGTGTGTTTACGGTGGCGGGGTGGGTGGAGGGTGGGGTGCAGCGACGATTGTTTTGGAGTTTTGGGTTGGTTTCTTCCTCCAATCTGCTTAATCGAGGTTTTGAGATGTGCGGTGGTGGTACAAGTTGTGATAGTGGTGCTACAGATGGTTCGTGGATCTGTGGTGAGGTTTAGATCGCACCTGTAGCGGCCTAGATGGCGATTGCAGTGGTGTAGATCGCAGCTGCAACGACGCAGGTCGCGGTGGTGATGATGATTTTTTTTGTTGTTGTTGGATGGGTGTTGGTAGTTTCCATGTTTTAGTGGTGTTGGGGTTTTAACGTAGTTGTTGTTATTAGTGGTGGTGGTGGTGGTGGTGGTGGTTGTGATGTTGGCTGCGGTATTCGAGATGATTGTTTTGCTTACGGGAGATGGTGGTTTGACGACGATGCCACTAGTAGAAGTGGTGACATGGTGGTCACAAGTGTTGGTGGTAGTCACAGATAATTTGGTTGATTGTGATCAATAAATTGATTGATGTATAATCAATAAACAATATATGACCAATGAAATAGATAAATTGTGATAAATAAATAATGTTTGACCTAAAAATGTGTTAATTTGTGACCTAAACATAATTTGGTCAATTAATTTGATATTTTGTGACCATGAAATAAGTCGTGACTTATAAAATTTGTGATTTGTGACCAAAAAATAATATGTAACCTATTAATTTGATAAATATGTGATCTATAATTTTTTTAATTGTGATCGAAAAATTATTTGTAATCAATTAATTCGATAATTTGTAATCAAATTGTATAGAATTGTGACATTATATTTAATTTATAAAATATTATTTTTTTAGAAAT